TATTTTAATTAAATTTGATATAACAATTTAAGTAAAATTAATTATAGATATTACATTTAATGAAACTTAACTTATATTCTTAAAATTTATGTTAGAAAATTCCTTCTTTTAAACCAAGGAAAATTTTGCAAAATATATATATATTACAATTGTTCCAATAAAAATTTAAATCTTGACATATATCAAGGTATTTGATGTATATTACTAGGACAATGATTCGCTTACTCTCGGCCGTATCACACTCTATTACACACATTCTTTTTTCCGTTAGCTCCCACACTCCATTAGTCTCCATTACACTCTCACCATGAGAACCCGATTTGGGTTCTCTCTCTCCTTTCCTTTCTCCTCAAGCGCTCATTTGCTCCTTCGAAATTTCTAGTAGGTGATTACAGTCTGGAACCCAAGATCAAAACTGTCTTCTTCCTTCTTTTCCCTCCTCCTCCTTTCTTTTTCTTCTTCTTTCCCTCTCCTCCCCTCTTCTTCCTTCTCTTCCCCTCTCTTGGAGAACCCAAATTTGGGTTCTCGCATGAAATTAGTGACAAATTCTGATTTTTTTTTCTTTTTTTTTTTTTGGGTATGATAAAGACGTGTTATTTTTCTTGTGGACTGAATTTTCATGGTTTTAGGTTGAAAGAAAGCTAGGGAGACGATTTATTCAATTTAAGTTTAGAGGAAGTGTTCCACTAAAACATTGATAATTTCCTTGGTTGGAAGGGGAGGTTGGGTGTTTGGTTTGGAATGGCTAGCAATTGTCCTACAAATGATTTGGATGAGAATGGAGGTAAGGAGGAAGATGGATCTAGTGAGGATGGAGACTAATTGATTGTGAGAGCCAATGGAAAAAAGAATGTGGGTAACGGAGTGTGATATGATCGAGTGTAAGCGAATCATTGTTCATATTACTAACCTACCAAAGCTGCTAGTGCTTTAATTGAATGCTTTTGTTATAGCTTAAGGAGTAGAATGTAACATAATGGAATTACTGCAACACAATCTCAATGCCGTTTACATCGGGATCGATCAAATCGAATATACAAATCATCACCCCCTTTTCTCCTGTCATCTCAAACATCAGGTTTGGAACCTGCGGACAGCTTGCTTTGGGTGGTGGGGCATCAAAACAGCAGCAATTTTACAAGGATTGAGGAAACAATTAAGTTTAGATCTTTTTATTGGCTATAAGTACTCAAGGGCTGTCCTAAATTATTAGAAGATATATCTAGTTCACATCTCCTACAATTGCCTAGGAGAGGCTCGGCAATAATATTCCAAAACACTTGCTTACCTATTTCTTTATCTTATATATGCTAGGGGCGCAACATTGATCATTATCACATTCGCATGATAATGCTAAATAGTTTGTAAATGTTAACATCCCATGTAAGGAAAAAAATGAGAATCTAAAGGAATTTATAAAAACTTATTTATTATCAATAAATAGTTAAGTAAAATGAAATCCAAGATAATATGAGCCTTACCTCTTATATATATATAGGCAAAAGATGGGCAGTTGAACTGCCAGAACATTATTTTTATTATTTTTAGATTTTTTAATTTATTTTATTAAATTCAAACTTGGAAAAATATATTTGAAATTCAGATATAATTTTTGATAGTCAAAGGGTAACTCTATGAAATGATATATTTTTGTAGAGATATACTCTTACAAATAGTGATTATTCAGGTAATATAAATTTTTATACAAAGTTAAAATTTTACGTCTAATTCTAAGAGAATTTTGAATTTTAAGAGAATTTTAAATTTTATTATATCTTGGAGGATTTTAAAACTTTAAGGAAACTAAGATCATACTTCAAAACTTTCATTTCTTTCTTCTACCATCTCTTATTATTTCTTCAATAGATAATACAGTGCTTTATTGTAGGTAAAAGGGATTTAGCGGGTATGAGATTAGTTTTAACACTAGTACAGTAGGTATGACCTTCTATTTGTATTTTTTCTTATTTTTGATTCTATGCTACTCCAATCATGACAATTGCGATGTATTCAATGGTTCTTTTGGCCGCCAATTTTATTCGGGGACTTTTTCTTCACTTTCTTCATTTTCTTGGTTGTCCTTTGCATTTACAATTAAATGCCAGTTGGTTGATCATTCATTATGGACATTTAGGAATTAATTAAATAAATAAAATTGCTGAAATGATGATGAATAATTCACAATGCATTTATACACAAGATTATATGTGTATGGGTCACTGTCAGCTATATACAGAACTTGAGGCGCAAACATGGAACACGTCATATGTGGTAGATTCCATCCAAATTACAGTCCCACTTTAACTATTTGCTTCCTTTGCCAACAACTCAAAATTCAGGATGAAAATTCAAGCACATCATCTGGTCGTCCTGCTTATTGGCTTGAAATTACTGCTGATTTCTGATGCACTGAACAGAAGCAGTTTTCCTAATGGTTTTCTTTTTGGAACAGCGTCATCAGCGTATCAGGTGACGTACTGATTATGCTTTCGAGATTTTCCTTCAAGATTCTTTCAGAATTATATATATCTGAAACTCTGTATGGTTGTTGTATTGAAGTATGAAGGAGGAGCCAGAGAAGGAGGCAGAGGACCAAGCATTTGGGATACTTTCACTCACAAATATCCAGG